CCGCCATTTGAATGAGACGCAGGTGAACGGGCCCGGATTCTGCATCAACCAAACGGCCGCTGAGCTTTGCGCTCAAAGCGAAGGCTCCTGCGATTCTGAAGTTTGCATTCAGAAGTCGGTAGGGCTCCCCTGATAAATTCTCCCTCCAGCCATATTGTGATCGTGGCAAATTTCCTCAAGTACGGGGCTTAAGTAATGAAACGGAGATTTGTTTGTTTTTTTTTTGTTTTTCCTTGACGCGGATGCATTGACATGGCGTCAGCGCAACAAGCAATGTACCTTACGAATCCAATGGGCGAAGGGAACGTCCATACCCACCTATGCCACCCAAAACCGCGCCTCCAAAGGCAGTCACAGCTGCCAACCTGAGGGTCAACACCACGAGGATATAGTAAAACAAAATCTGCCACTTGGCGAGCAAATTGGCATCGCAAAACTCTCCTGGGCGGCCACCAGTATAACGGTGTACCGAAAGCGCTGCAAGTAATCGAAAGGACAAGGGAACCGCAATTATTGCCACATAAGATATGTTTTGCAGCATGCACCCTGCCATTCTGGTGACCAAAGAAGTGAGCTCACGCGAGTTTTGCTGCTGAAGCAATGACCTCACGGCGGCATTCTCCCTTTTGCACAGAATCTCACACACCGCACTTGTAATGACAAACTGAGGTAGTCGAATAATGCATGATCGCGGTAATGAGGCACTAACGAATCAATGCACATACCCAAGCCATCAATCATGCAGAATTCATTCTGCAGTCTCTGCGCAACTCCCACCTGCTTCAGGGCAGACACACAAATCATCCCTCATTGCCACAATACCTCCTAAGCAGGGGTGGCTGCAGATAGCCGGGCTGACGAAAGACGGCCGCGATTGCACAATGTGGGTGTTGTTTTGGTGCACGCCACACATACGATGCACAGATTCCAGTGCTCTTGTGCCATTTTAGAACGAAGCGAAGCTGCTTGAAGGGCAGTTTTTGCAGTGGGGATTCACGGCCTTCCAGCATCAATTTTGTGCAGACCTGCAGGACAAGTCAGGAAACGGATTTCAGGTGCCCACTTCTCCGAGACCAGTGCTGCATGGACAGCTACACCCCGGCGTTCAGCAAATCAATGCGCGAGAAATGCGAAAGTCGACAGATATTGAATGGGAAATGCCAGGTCGAGAGCTTGTGCAAGCAAGTGCGGGACCCCTGCAGCGATGCGGCAGACGAATGGAGCTGCCAAGATCCTTGCGAGTTTGTGCCCATGGAGGATAAACGTGAGCTGAGACAATTTCCACGTTAAGTTTGAATTGCCGACACCAGAATTAAACACTATTTTCGCGAAGACAATTGCAATGCCTTGTTGACAGCAAGGAGCCATCGCAGTGGTTGAGATGGCATGGAAGCAGCCGCGACTGCATCAATTACTGTCAAGTGGCATCGCAGTGGGCATCGCGAAAATGGCGCTTCCTCCCAGTGCTAAAAAGCGTGTCGTTCGCGCTTTTTGTGTCTTCCCCTCACTGCCCGTGTTCAATCTCATCTCAAAAGTTCGATCTCATGCTGCGCTTCAGAATCACTCAGAAACTCTCCTTCTTGCTGCAAATTCACAGCTGTGACCCGATGGGTAATAATATTACTTCCTGCACCAAATCGGTGACTGCCTGCACCAAATCACGTGAACACTATGTCCTATGTCTTAACCTCAGTTTTAGGGTTTAGGGTTTAGGGTTTAGGTTGGTAAGTTTTGGAGGGAGTTGATGCAAGCAGTCACCGATTTAGTGCAAAAAGTCACCGATTTGGTGCAGGCAGTAGTTGTATGCCACCTGATGGTATGGCTGAGAGCATGATGTCGCATTGGTGATCGTGACCATGGCCATGGTTATGGTATGATGATAATGGTGGTGGCAATGGTGATTGCAATGGTGTGAAGGACGCACAGCTTGTTATCCACGAAATCGTGTTGTTCTCCTTGCATTAGTTTTTTAACCCCGACTTCCACATGATAAGAACGAGTTTTCCAAGATTGTGGCGCAATCCACTGTCAACGCAAGTCAAAGGATAATTGCTTGTGGAAAACTGTTTTGTGGTTCAATCAACAGATGACAAGGGCATGAGGGGGAAATGTGTCTCAAAGACAAGTCTCTGCGATGGAATGAGCGACGACAAATGCTCCGGGGTCAAGGTATTCGGGGTCTCTATTTGCCAAGTCGTGGATCGGTGCATCTCCAACTTTTGCAGAGAAGACGACCAGTGCTGTGGCAAAAGCCCAGAAAGCTGCGTGGCAGACGACATGTGCCGGTCGGAAGTTATGTGCAAGATCAGGAAAGACAGCTGCAACTTATTGTAGGTGCCCGTTCTTTCTGGCTTCCCGAAGGAGCTACTTTGAATTGAAGACGCCCTTCTACTTGATTTGTTGTGCATGCGCTCTTCGTAGACTCAGCTAAGGTGCCGGCGAAGTTCCAAATTCTAGATCCAAACGCGCAGAGACTTTCGTAATTTTGCAATGTCAGCAGCGTGAAGGACTTCAACTGGCACACAAGCAAATTGGTGTACAGTCTTCCGGAGAAATCCGAGCAGGACGGCAACATCTAGATGTCGCCATATCTGCCGGATCTGTTGGATATGCAAAATTTTGCCAACCTGCCTTGCGTATCACGCAACGCGTAAAATACATCAGATTAGCAGGGGCGTTCCTAGCAAGAAAACTGAGATATGCCTGGACAATCGCATCGTGTAGTTGTTGTGAGCTTTCTTCGGCCCTCCCTAGAATCACACTCCTAGGAGGTTACTTGTGATGTCCATGCAGCCACAACCGCTTGTGTGCATCGCAAAAAGGTGCTGGCTTTCTACCAACCTAACTTTGGTAATTAGTTGGAGCTGAGGGATTATCTGTAGCTTGAAAGTGTCGCACTTGCAACTTTGCTTTGCGCCAGAGATTTTGCGGGGTCGAGTGCAAAAATTGCGAATGTCACAAAAAAGGAATAGAAAGATGATTTCAGACGCAATGAAATGACCTGAAAGGGTTTTCTCGGCGACAATATGCGCAATATTTTTTGCCGCGTAAAGAGGATACTCCGAGAAGGGCACAACCACTGTTCCCACAAATAGAGTGGCCACCTGTAATGCAGCTGACTGTTCAATTGCTCCTGGAAAATGGCACTTCTCGCACAGCAAATCCATATCCATGTGATTCCCAATGTCCCACAGGAGGTTCATCGCCCATGCATCAGAAAACGCACCAGGAGAATTGGGACTGGTTTTTCTTCACTGCATTTTCTGAACACACTCCATGGGGATTTTAATATTCATGGCATCTCACCGCATATCATGGGACAATTAGGATGCGTTCAAATGCGTGAGTGCGAACGAGTGAATGATTCTTTTGTCTTGCGGTGTTCTGGGCTTGTGTGGACATGGGGCAATGAATAATCGATTCCGAACAAACACTCTGCTTGGTTCCACACCCGTCATCGCCTGTCAGGTGCACGGGCCGTGTTTTTTCATTGTCTGACAAATGTAATCGAAGGTTTTTGACGATGATGTCCATGTGAAAAATTTAATGCCATTGCATTGCGTTTGATGACAGTACAGAAGAGCTTGAATGCAAGGAGCAAGAAATGTGCGACTGGGGCCCCAACGCAATTTGCATCACTTCCAAAGACGCTGACTCATGCTCCGGACGAGACACAGACGAGTGCGAGAACCTGACCCCAGATGTGTGCGAACTCGAGAGAGCATGCAGGGATGTTTGCACCGTCTGCTCGGATTGTGTGCACGACATGACCGAGTTTGCGTCCACCATCGCGGACGACACCCCCGGCTCTGAAGCAGCACAGGTAAGTGCGTGAATGCCAGCATCGGCATGGAAACCGCCCCAAGCGCGCCAGGTGCAGTAGCTTGTTCATTTTGCCGGGCGCCCTAGCGAGGCCAATCAGGGCTGTCTCTTGCGACGCCTTTCTCTCCAGCCCAAGCTTTGGGACGAGAAGGGTCCGTTGAAAAGCGCAATAATTTAACACCCGTTTTTGCGGATTGTGTCAAACTTGGATTCAGCCACTTCCACTTTAGTCCGAGCGTGCATGGTTCGCAGTCTCCCATGAGATCAGCGGGGGTACAGTTCCACACCATATCCCGGAAGAGTGAATCAAAACCTGGTGCTAGCGCACCACACACCTCCGCTGTCGTTTCAATAACACAGGTATTGCACCTCCTGCAGATGTTCCTGTCTCACTGCCAGTCCCGCGGCTCCGAAGGCCAAGCCTGCGAGGAGGCGTACGCGAACATCAGGGCATCCAAGGCGTGGGGCACGCTGCGTCGCCCCGGGGCGCTCTGCCACCACATCGGAGAGTGCAAGCAGGGCTGCAACGTCACAATCAGCGGCGTCGCCAAGCCTCTCGACCTCTGCACCGAGTCAGGAACCGCCGAATCTGCACCAGAGCTGGCGGATTCCGACGACGAGCAGTGCAGGAGCAGCCTGGATTGTGCCACCGGCTACTGCAACTTCCGCGGGTCGGGCTCCGGCCAGTCCTGCTCTTGCGACCAGACGACTGGCATCGACTCGTGCGTGGCGGTGGGGGCCTGCGGGAGCTACTGCGACCAATTCGGGGATCAGATTGCCGCCCACAACGGCCAGTTCGCGCAGTGCTCCGGCGACGGGGACTGCGGCGACGGCGAGTCGTGTGACACGGCCGCCAACAGCGGGTGCAGCGTGTGGCAGTGCGACGACGACAACGGCCTCCGCGTCGCGCCCTGCACCGGATTCTGCGTGCAAGACGAGCTGCTGGTGGTCGCAGCGCAGTTCAAAGACGGCGGGAGCGAAATCGCCGTGACTCTGAACGCCGAGGCAGGGGCGGGGTCCTTCCCGTGCGGGGACATCTTCGAGGCCGACAGCATGGCCCTCCTGGGACCGACCGCGCACTGCACCGTGGCGCAGAACATATTGACGGTGTCTCTCAGAGCCGGCGCGAGCATAGTGCCGGGCGGAGCCGTCAGCCTTGATCCCGCCCAGACGAGGCTCGTCGGCTACTTCAAAGGGGAGAACGCATTCCGCTCGCCTGATCCAGTGCCCGTGGCGGCCTGCAGCGACTGCGTGGCGCCCGAGATCGTGGTGGTGGGACCGGAGGTCCTGTCGCATGGCTGTCCGGGAGCGGGAGACGCCTCCGCGGGGGTCCTGTTCGACGGGAGCTACAGCCTCGACGGCACGGGAAGGGGGCTGAGCTTCCGGTGGTCGGCGGACTCGGAGTCGTGCTACAGCAGGGACGGGGACTGGGGCGCCAGCGAGGGGCCGCCGTCTTGCGAGTTGCTCAACGGCATATTGACTGGGGAGCTTTTCAGGTGTGCAGCCTGACGGCGGAGTTACGCTGACTCCACTGACAGAGAGACGTCCGTACCGCCCAGTTTCTAGCTGTGTTCGAATTGTGTTAAAGTGGTGGGAAAAGTGTGTTTGAAGCCTGAAGCGTTTTGAAGCTGGACTAAATCGTGTTGCCTCGACCGTGCTTTTGGAGCCCTCTTTCGCAAGTGCTTGGAAGTTGCGCAAAGCGGAGAGAGGTCACCAGGAATGGGTAGATCTACGCGACTATGCGGATCTGCCAATTAAACGGGTCGGCAATATTTCGTTTGCTTGAAGAAACAGCTGTCCATTATGGGGAAATCGCTGCTTGTTTCGAATGTGCATTTCTCCTAACGACTGATTTGTTTGAATCACCTAAAATGCGACTGCACAAGAATGCGCCTCATTTCGATTAGCATGCCAGCAAGAGCGCCCCTTGAAGTGCATCCAAGCGACATCCCTGGCTATTGAGCGCTTTGCCGCGAAACATGCCTTCATGTTTACCCCAGGTTCGTCTGCCATGCATAACAGCGAGTGTATGTGTGTCCGTTTCCTTTCTGACAGCGGTTCCTCCTCCTTCGAGCTGTCCCCATCAGAAATCCGTCTGCTGGAGCCAGGATACTACCGCGTCACCGTATCTGCAGCAAATTTTCTGCAGAGCGAGTCCAGCTCAACAATCCAATTTCGGGTCATGGGATCCCCGGTGCCGGTTGTGGGCGTCCTGGGGAACACCAAGCGACAGTTTGAGGTCGCCAAGGGCTTCAAAATATCAGCCTTCGTCGAGTCGGATTCCGTCTGCCCCGGCGACAAGGTCGTCTACCGCTGGACGTCAGAAGACGAGGTCTGGTGGAGCGCCATACCGGAGGGCGGCATCGCCAGAAAAGACATAGTTGTGCAAGGGCCCGTGGATGCAGAAGCGCGGGCGGAGTATGTGTTAAAGTTAGAGGCGCGTCTGGTGGACGCTGATGGTACGGAGAGGGAGGGCAGCGCCACCGCGTTCGTGACACTGACCGCCAAGGACGGCCCCGTCAAGGCCGTGCTGACGGGCCCCAAGGGAGACGTCGTCGTGGCGCAAAGCGTCACCCTGGACGCCTCCGCGTCTTCGGACCCCGGGGACCCCTTCAACACGCGGCAGGCCTTTGACTTTGAGTGGGCGTGCGTTCGCGGCGACGGCGGCCCGTGCTTCAGCGGCCTGTCGGGCCCGTCCCAGTCCGCGGCGGACAAAATCGTTATCTCGGGCGACATGCTGGAGGTCGGCGCCACGTACATTTGGACCGTTGCGGCCTCCAAGGAGGACGGAGAGGGGAACGTGAGGCGAGACACGGCGAGAGTGCAATTCCGGCCCCGGGAGCCGGACGTCCCCACGGGGTCCATACATCTGTACTGCGCCGGCGAATGCGGGGCCAAGGCCAGCCGCGGCCAGCCGCTCACGTTCGTCATCGCGGACCTGACGCAGAAGGAAGAGACGAGGGTGGATTGGTCCGTCCCATCGATTGGCGCGGGCGCCGAGTCGGTCGTGGCGGAAGGCTTCATGGGACCAGTTTTCAGAATCCTGCAGGCGCCCCTGGGCGACGCCTTGGAAGTGTCAGCGCGACTGACCCGGGTGGTCGGCGGCCGGCGCCTTGCCGGCGACGCCTGGACGTCCGTCTCGATCAACGCCGACCCCTTCTGCTCCTCCGACTCCTGCTTGACAGTGGAAGCTGCTCGCGGCACCAGAGAGTTCCCCGACGCCGAGTTCAAGGCCGTCGTCGCCGGTTTCGTCGACGACGGCCCGCTGATTTACGCTTTTGGAATTTCTGCCTCAGACGGATCGGCGTCTTCACGTGTCGTCCACCAGGTCGGGGAGGGAAGATCCTGGTCCGTCGACTGGCTCCCCCCCGGCGACCACACCCTGTTCTCCTGTGCGGTGGACGAGCACGGTTCATCGTCGTGCGAGACGGCCGCCGTCACCGTAGAGGCGCCGAGCGGTCCCATGGAAGTGGACGCGACGGAACTGAAGAACGCAGCTGAGCAGGCGGCCAGGAGCGGAGACGCCATGGCGGTGTATGCCTCCATTCTCAAGGGCATGAACTTACTGACGTACGCAGCAGGCAACGAGGATCTTGATTCGCTGGCGGCAGCCCCCTCGGAAGAAGGCCTTGGCGCGGGCGCCCCAGAAATGGACGACGCGTTGCCGAACAGGCGACTTCGCATGCAAGCCTCTGAGCCGTCGGCCGACGGACCGCCCCCTGAATTCCTAAACCTCGTCAGCGATTTGGTGGACGGGAGCGAGGGCGGCCTGGATGTGGACACCGCGCCCGCGGTGCTGGAAACGTTGAAGGCGCTGGCGGTTGGGGGTGCCGTGAGCGCCGACACGGCGGATCACGCCCTGGGCGCCTTGGTGGTCCTGACGTCCGCGCTGAGATCATCGAACAGTGCCAACGCGCCCGTGGGGGTCGTCGAAATGAGCAACGCTCTCACCATTTTGGAGCACGTGGTAGTTGCTAAGCTGGAGGGAGGCTCGCCGCCGGCCACGCCTGAGGAACACTACCGACTTTACAAGGACGTGACATCCGTTGTGGAGGACACCAGGGTGCTTTTCTGCGCCGCCGCTATCCCGGGAGCGACCCCCGTGGCGGCGTCGGGCGACGGCGGGTCCATGTCCGTCTCGTGCGCGACGGACGTCATGGCGGAGATGGACAACAAGACGCTAGTGATGGGCGCGGGAGACCACCCCCACGGGTCCGTCATGCTGCCAGGCGACTTTTCCGAGCTCTGCGGCGGCGCCTGCCCCGGAGTCACGGACACCCTGCACGTCGAGTTCTACAAGCGGCACGAGGTCTTGACGGGCTACGTGGAGGTGCCTTCCATGCCGGGCGTCGACGGCGTCTTGGCGGTGTCCGGCGTGGCGAGGGTCTTCATGCCGCGTCACAGCGAGGGGTCCATGTGCGCGGGAGACGCCTGCAGTCCCATGTCTGTGCACTTGGCCGTGAGCCCCGGCGCCTATTCCACGGCGGGCGGCCGGGCGACCCGCTGCCTGCTGTCGGAAAGAGGAAGCATTTTGGGACTCAGCGCCGCGGACGACGGCATCGTATCTTTTGTGCGGTACGACCCCCTGCTGGGCACGGTGGCATGCTCGACGAGGAGGACGGGGGATTTGTACGTCGTGCAATTTGAGGACGGCACGCCGCCGCCCCCACTCAAGCCCTTGTGGCCGGGCGGACCCCGAGGCTGGGATCCAGCTGTAGACTACGCTCCTGACTCGGGCGCTACGGGCAAGGCCGCAGAAAACTCCACCCAGCTGGCGGCAGAGCTCCCGTCGGACACAGGGAAGATCGCCATTCCTTCGCCGACGTTTGCGCAGGTGGCTGTGTCGCATTTCGGGGCGTCAGTTTCAGGGCTATTGCCACTGATGTATGTGCGCATGTGGGGCGCAGGAATTCACAAGTGGCGGGGCAGCCTTGGTTACTGTAGGCTGCACAGAAAAGCGCGTCGTCCTACATCCCAATAGCTTGCCGCGCAATAATGTTTGCGAGCAGTGCATCTGCCTCGGACGCGGTCCAGAATTGAAATTTGCAGCAGAAAAACAGATCACGAACGCTATATGTTATTCAAATTGACGAAGCCGGAGCAAACACTTACCTCTTCCTTGCGTCTACCCTCAAATCGCCTTTGTGTCCTCAATTTTTGAAAATTCAAACCAGGTGTGGCAGACGAACCGCGTTTCTTTGCCCATCTTTTAGGTCTCCCTCAGCCTCGCATTTCCCAGCCTGGACTACGACACCGTGATGGCACAGCCCGCGCTGAGAGCAGCTCTGGAGCAAGACATTACAGCCAGCACAGCCTCTGCGGCGTCTGTCGAGCCATCCCAAGTCCGCATAACCGACATCCGCCCGGGCTCGGTCATCGTGGACGCCTCCGTGGACTTCCCGTCGACTTCCTCGCCGGAGGTCGTCCAGCAGTTCGTCGCGCTGGTGGGCAGCGACCCGGCCAGCGTCTTCACAGGAGACAACTTCAGAGAGGGAGGCATGTTTGGGCCGCCCACTGTGACTGTGCATTCCACGGAAGACACCGGCGAGCCCACAGTTCCGCCCACGAACACTCCTGAACCAGCTTCAACGCCAGCAACAGTCCAAACGCCCACCACAGAGTCTCCCCGGGCCCCAGACGGGGAAACCAGTGCCGAGAGCCCCTCGCCCGTTGTGCAGCGGCCAAGTCAGGAGGATGATGATAGGGGCGACACGCCGGTGGGAATAGTCGTCGGGTCGGTGATTGTGGGAACTGCGTTCATGGGGGTGGTGGGCGTAGCCGGGTACTCGTACTGGAGGAGGCACGTGTCGCCAGGGTCGCTCGAGTTTTCGCACATTCGTCTGACTTCTGACGGGCCGTGAATTGACGAGGTTGCTGTCAAAGCGCCTGCGGTTGTTTCGATTCTTTTGTGGCTTTTGAATTGCAGAGTTGCTTGTCTACGGCGAATGTTTGGACAATGGGTTAATGGGGAATACGGCATGGTTTTGTGGTGATGGGTATGGCCTAGGGATCGCCAATTTTCTAGGAACAGAACACAATCGTGCAGGCATGAAACGCGCCAGTGGCAGCCTGAGTATGAGGCAGCATCGACTGGCGCCGTCTGGAAAGAGGAGCGATCAACTGTAGTCTTTGCGATATCCATGGGCGGAAAGGCACGACGGTGGGGAAAGCCTGCGTGCACGTCGCGCGTGGAAAGCGCGAGATGGATGCAGGGGTTTGGAGGGTGAGCATAATTTCACAAGGCACCAACCTGTTTGGGAAAGGACACAGGCATGTCGTAGACGCGGTTGGGGGCAGATGTTGCTATCCAGGTCGACGTGCAGCGGCAAAGAGAATTTCCAGCCTGCAGATTCAGGTTGCACAAAAAAAAACACAGTATCTATGCAAATCCATTCAGCTGCTCATCAAGTTTGCAACCTGGAACGGCGACGGCGAGTTGTAGTCGCTCGCTTCCTAGATGTGCGAGAGACGTCGCTGAGACGTCCGGATTTGCCGCTGAAATGTGTATCCAACTTGCGTGCTGAGCGCTGAGCATTCGCATGTCTTTGTCATCATCCTCTGACTGCCACGTTCGGGCCCGATAGCCACTATAATTAGGGACGGGCGTCGGAGCAAGCGCCCAACTATTAACGTTAGTATACACACCTCAATACCCAGGAATGTGACCAAATCACCAAGTCAGAGCACCACAGACGCAGAGATACGGAGAGGCAAGTTTGGTGCCCGCTCCTGCTGCTGTGCGCAGTTACGCCGCAGCAATGTCCCAAGGATCTTCCCACTTGCCTGTGTTTTTCGAACATTCTCAATATCGGACAGCAGGAACGTTCAGTGTTGTACATGTATACACCAGGTTACTATGTTCCCAAGAGAGACATGCCCAAGGGGTGCATCCCGCACAGTCGGCACCTCAGGTTGGCAGCAGTGACAACCTCATCATTACAGATCCTATCCCACTTATTCGCGATATCTTGCAGTGCCACAAAAGGCACTGGTAGACAATTGTCACCCAGAAAACAGCACATGTTTAACGCCACAGAATCCGCTACAACTTATCTGGTCGCAGGTTGGTTCCCTCAAAACACGACTACGCAAGCGACTTGCACAGCATTCAGACAACGATGTGCCAGCGTTGGCACCACCGACGAATGCACTGCTGCAATGCCGTTTCCGAGCATGTCCAGGTGGGGCAATCATGACACAAGTCTCTCCCCTGCTCTGCGAGAATTGCCAGAGCCGTGCCGCCTTCAGACGTTCGTGGGGCCCAAACGCCAAGTGCGTCTTCATGCGCCACGATGCTAAAATTTCGCGAAGCCATTCAAAAAGCACACGCAAGTTAGAGTCCGGGCAGATCTGCAACAGCCCATGGAGGCTGGCCAACTGTCCTTGTTTAAATTTGCCTTCAACAGGCAAACTCGTCTTCAGTCGCTTGGAAGCGGGATTCCTGAGCCTTGCACGCAATGATGGGCATGTACATGTCCCTGGAGCGGAGGCGGACAACGTAGGGCGCGGCCAGGCCACAGACAAAGCATGGAGAGGAGCACCAAATAACATTCTAGGTCATCTTCCTTCGATGCACCAATGCGCTGTAGTGCCCTTCACCATTGCACTCTCCTCTGTCCAACTACTCTTGGAGCTCAACGTTCAAGGCTTCCCAGCCAACCCAGGAGGGACAAATTTCGCCAAATTCTGCTCGGCATTGGCAAACCACTCGCCTCCCACGCAGCCACCAGCAGGCTAGTGATTCCGAAAAGTCTCAGACTTTTCAGAGTCGTTCCTGGCGGATATCTTTACCTGCATCTCCCGCACACAAGCCTCAATCTCCTCAGTGGACGAATCTGAGTCCGAGTCCGACCCTTGCTCATGTTGCCTTGGCACTTCCTCTGGTCTCATGGCAGCCGCAAATGGTGACGTCATCATGGCGCCGCTTCCCTGGCGGCGGGGGTCCGGAATGCGCGGCCTGGACTCCGCGAAGGGCGGGCAGTCCCGGGGACGGATTGACGACGCCCGCCGACTCGCCCGCGCCTTCGAGCTCATCCTCCTCACCTGGCCAGTGGGGAGCGGGGTGTCAGTGTTTGGACACCGACAGTTTCACTGGGAACGCTCTGCCATTCGAACTGTGCCACCCTGCGTTTGCCATTGTATGTGTGGGGGCTCCCTCCCGCAGCGCACCAGTATGAAGGGGAGCGGGACGCCACGTGTGCTATGCCGCCCGTCCCGAGGGCGTAGGTTTGAGGTTTAGGGGAATGCGCGGGACGCCGTATACCCGTCCCGAGACCAAAACTTCCCCGCAGCATTGGTGTGAAAGGAGGGCTTCCACCCCGTCACTTTGTAATGCCATTGCCGTAATTAGAACTGATCGAGTATTACCAACAGTTGGACGCGTAACGAGGTGATGTACGGGTGCTGGATACAAGGGACGGTGTTCCTGTTGCGCCCATTTGCTCCGCTGCAAAGCCTGGGTACCCACCGGTAACAGCCAGGGGCCCCTCGACCCTGCCTGCCTTCATCAGCATCTTGCCTCACCTGGCCAGTCTTGGAGCACCTCCTCCCCACGCTGCAGCGCTTGGGGAAGTCTGCGTGGATTTCGTTCGGCCCTTCCGCCCCTCCCTTGCCCTCGTCGTCCGAGGACCAGCAGCAGGTGCTGCAGTAGGAGGAGTCGCTGGCGTCGCCTTCGAACAGCGAGTCTCCGGTGATCTGGGCCGTGGGCACGTCGTAGGTGGCGAAGGGCGCCAGGGCGTGGGCGTCGAAGCTGCTCGGCGTGTCCCGGGACGTCGAGCACACGTCAAATTTTGGGCTCGGAGCCGCGCACTTCTTGCCGGGCAGCGGAGATGATCCCATCCTCTTGGTGAGCAGTTCGGCATGTTGCTGCAGGCGCCGCTGCCGCTTGCGCGACAGGACGAACACCGCCACCATGACGAAGACCAGGAGCGCCACCAGGGGCACGACGGTGACGGCCATGGGGAATATGTCCTCCAGGCCGGAGTCAGATGACTTGCCGGGGGGGAGGGCGGGCAGCCCGTCTCTTCCCAGGTCCGGCACTCCGGTTTGCGCGGCGTCGGGGTCGTCTGGAAACTGGATCTGCAAGTGCAGCCGGGAGTGCGCGGTTGAGGCGGTTTTTTGCAGGTCTGCGAACGTCGGTCTGCATAATTGCCACGGAGGTGTCGAACAACGCGCGAAATCTGTGCACTGCTCTTGTTGCTTGAGGGCCGTTAGACACGTGATAACAACGAGTCCGGCTCCAGAATCCAAAGTAACATTTGATGGCAGGCACCTGGAAGAGTATTTGGCAATAACCACGATCAAAGGAAATTGCACCACGGGTTAGCACAGTCAGCCTTCCTGTCCGCTGAAATCGGGATGCTTTGCTGAATGGGAAAAAGGCACTCCTCTGCACGTGCATAGGCGTGCACAAAAAGAAAACCATTTAAACAGAAACACTGACGCTGCTTACCTCATGAGCTTCGAAAAGGAGCGTTATTTCCGACACAGCAGGGTCTTTTGAGGTGGTGTTCAGGAGATCCAAAGGAGTCATTTGCTCCAAGTCAACCGCATCCACGTCTGACCCAGCTGCAAGCAGTTTTCCAACGTTGTCCGGATGAGTATATGCCACAGCAAGATGGAGAGGGGTTCGGCCCTTCACATCAATTGCATTCTCGTTTGCCCCAGCACTCAGCAACATCTGCAGTATCCAGCTGTCTCGCTTTGTGGCGGCAACGTGGAGCGGTGTGTCGCCTCGCTTGTCAGCAATGTCCACAATCGCATCATTGTCGAGCAACACCTTAACGGCAGCCCTGTGCTGAGCTTCGACAGCAACATGGAGTGGGGCGGACCCAAATCTGCAGCAACATGCAGAAGACGTGGTGTTTAGGCGCTATGCAAGATCAGTGCTGCTTTTTTGTTTGAACTCACCGGCTCGGCCCTGGATATGACAGGTGTGCATTCTGTGCAACGTGACAGTGAAACAGAACCAAAACTGGCACATCAGGTTGTCCATGACTGGAACACAGCTGCCAATAAATGGGGTGTGCAGTACAAGGGCATTTCAAACAACAAAACAGAGACAAGGCTCCCTACCAGGCACAAGGAACAGGAAAATGCAACAGACAACACATTTTCTGCAGCACTACAAAATTGGATATTGTCACAAGCAATGCCTTTCAGATGTTGTGGACTGACCTGCTCTGATAGTCTATGTTGCGCCCAACAACACCATCTTGCATGGGACCTTCTGGTTCGGATCCATCATCTTGCCCGTCATCTTGCTCATCTTCTTGCGATGTCTCGTCATCTAGCGATGTCTCATCTGACAGAGAGCTCTTCCGAAGGCCTTCATCATAGTCTATCAGCAGCTGCATCACTTGCACGTGGCCGTGCCGCGTTGCTATGTGCAATGCCGTCTCACCATCTGTCGTTGTTATCAGGTGCAGAGGCACCCCCTCTGTTGTGTTCGATTGCTCAGACCTGTCCACAATAGCAGAACTCAGGGGTGTTGTGTTGAACTGCAGCACTGTACATCATATGCTCAGAGCTACACCCACATGCCATTATATGCAGTAGACAAGAAAATGGAAATTCTGAATGGTTGCCTAAGGCTGTTCTGCCCGTGCACAGTGATGCAAGTGATGAATTGCATTGCAAGCTCGCATGCCCCCGCTGTCTGACAAGGGTGTTCTGAGGTCAAAAAACAAGCAGAGGTAACCCCCACTGCACGGGGCTTTGGCAAAGAATTAGCGTTTTGCATGATACTCACGCAGCCAGAAGCACATTGATGACTCCCACATGGCCGTCCCTCGCTGCCATGTGCAACCCTGTTTCGCCAGATGCTGAGTTAGCCGCCCTGATGTTGGCCCCAGCTTCAATCAAGATCGAAGCTGCATTCTGGAAACCTTGGCCTGATGCGTACTGAAGCGCTGTAATCCCTGATCCATTGGCAGCATTGACGTTGGCCCTAGGCTGAGCATTCAGCAGCTGGCTAATCACTGCCGTGCGGCCAAACCGAGATGCTGCCATCAGCGGTGTGTCCCCATTGGTGTCACTGGCCTCAGTGTCAGCATCCTTCAAGCACAGCATTTAATGAGCCAGGCACAGTTATCCTCTGGCAGATGCGCTATCAGAGGGATCTCACATCCAGCAGCTACACGAAGCTGGCAAATGCCAGAGAACTGTGGCAATAAAGTTTGTCAATTAATTGTGCACAATAGTGTACATTGCACATTTGTGCTTGCAGATTGTCATCCTGCACTTCTCACACAATCCATTTCGACTTTCTTGAAAAGAAAATGTGAAGAAGTCGGCAATCACTCGCAAATAGGGCGCTCAGCAGGACATGCTTACATTGTCAAGAAGGGCTGCCACCACAGACGAATGGCCGTTCACGGCTGCAACATACAGCGCTGACTGTCCCAGCTTGTTGCTCACATTCACCCTTGCATCTGCATCAATTAGAATTTGCACTATCCGAGCTTGGCCTTCTTCAGCTGACACATACAATGGAGTGGCACCGTCAACGTTCCTTGCCTCCACCTTAGCTCCTGCATCCAGCAATGTGGTTATCACTGGCACCCTACCAGCGAGACCTGCTGCATGCAGGGGCGTCATGCCAGCACTGTTAACTGCGTTGAAATCTGCACCCAGCTCGATGAGCTTCGTCAGGGCTGCGCGCTGACCCTGTTTGGCAGCAACAAACAGTGGTGTCTCGCCATTGCTGTTGGGCGTCTCCAGATTTGCACCTGCTTGGACCAACACCTGCACAACAAAATAGATGGCAAAAGCAGAAAGCTCAAGATATGGTTTCTACACAGGAACACTGGGGCAGAGCGGTCCTCATCAATCACTGACAAAGCATTTGGCTTGCCCTTTCACCTGGGGGATCGTGTTTGGAACTGCTGTGGCAAGCTGATGGATAGGAACGCAAGACCAACAGCCCGCCTGCCAGGGCATGCCATGGCAAGCAGCATAGCAATGCTGCTACATGTGCTCCACATGCACCTTTCCACTGGCCTGCTTCTCTGCCCCAGGAGCGCAGTGTACATCCTTGGAGCTCCTGCTGCTCTGTTCACTGTGCACAACCAAGCAATGTGGATGGTGCATGGAATTACAATCTTGGGACAAGGGACAATAAAGCACTGATTGGACTCTGTTTTCATTGGTGTCAGCACAGTGTACAAATTTGTCCCCACGATTGCTTGGCAATTGCACCCCACAAAGTTTGATTCTGCATGTGTTGCTAGAGTAACACAAAATTGGCTGAAAGAATGGCAAACCCAAGGAGAAATTCCCACCTGCACAACTTCTGCATGGCCCTTCTCTGCAGCAACAAAGAGTGGGGTCTTCCCTTCTGCATCCCGCACGTCCTTTCTTGCACCTTCACTTAGAAGTAGCTCAACCATTTTCACATGGCCCTTGTCGGCAGCGACCCAAAGAGGCGTGTTGCCAACCGTGTCTGCACTCTCTGTGTTGGCACCATGTGCCAGCAGCACAGCCACAACCTCAGTGCGACCACCTGCCGCAGCAAGATACAGTGCAGTATGCTGTTGGCTATCTGTGGCATCGATGTTTATGTTGGGTCGAAGTTTCAGCAGCTCCTTGACTCCCACAATGTCGCCCTCTTGGGCAGCATCACGAAGCTCTTGTTCATCCTGGCAAAGCAAGCAACGTTTGTGTTCAGCCTGAGGTGCACAATGGACTGTTGAGAATCTACTAAGCTGCACTTTGGATATTGTACTCAGAGAAAGCAAGGCAAAATTCCCTTTGGATGGGTGTGACATGGAAGCATGGGAATACATCAACATGAATTCAAAGTAATCAACAAACATGGAAAGAACAGTAGTTCATGACGTGTTTCTGCTGCAGCT